CCCCAAAACCCCAAAACCCCATGATGATCAAATAAGAGTGTAGAGTGGTTAATATAAAATACAATAGTTTATTAACCTTATTCAAAAGATTCTTATAGTACTAACCTTCAATGGGCTGACAGATAAATGGAATCACATTTCCATTCCTGATTTCAGCTTATAAAAATAAGTTTGCTTATTGTCTCCAAGTTCTTTGAATGTGCCTTATTCAACAACTTTACCCTTGTGAATAACTAATATCCAATCACAATTTTTAATTGTGCTTAATCTATGAGCAATCACTATACTAGTTTTTCCCTCCATTGTTTTGTCAAGAGCCTATTATACAATTTCCTAAGATTATTCATCAAGAGCAGAGGTAGCTTCATCAAGAATTAGAATTTTAGGATTCTTAATCAAAGCTCTTGCAATAGCTATTCTTTATTTCTAACCTCCTGAAAGCGTTGAACCTTTTAGGCCGCATATCTTATCAAATCCAGGGTGAAGTTACACCATTAAACTCTTTTCCTCTTAATCACTCATAATATTTTCATTGATTGGAAGTTTTGTTATCTCTAGATTATCATCTTGAATTTTTTCAATGAATTGTAGAGCATTTGCTTAATTTGCAACTTCTAAAATTTCCTAATTTGTGGCTTCTTATTTACCATATTGAATGTTTTCCTTGATACTCAGGTTAAATAAAATAGGTTCTTGCATAACATATCCAAGTTAAGTTCTTAGATTTTTAGTATCTATAGTTTTTATATCTACTCCATCAATCAAAATTTGGCCATCCTAAAAGTCATACATTTTCAGCAAAAGATTAGCTATAGTGCTCTTACCGCTTCCTGATCTACCAACTATTGCTATCTTCTTTCCTTCAGGCACCTTAAAGCTAAGTTTTCTCAATACTTTTTCATTTCTTGAGGGATACTAAAATTTGACATCCCTGAATTCTATTTTCCCTTGCTAAATCAGAAAATTACATGCCTGATGCTTATCTTCATTTTCTGAATTCTCATTTATGATTCCAAAAATTTTATTAGCAGCTTATTTGGCTTTTGATAGTGATGGTAATTAAGAGAGAGCGAATCCTGCTGCAAAAGATGCCAAATATACCGTATAATTAGCAATAAACAAATCAAATTTGTTGTAATTGTATTGCTCAATGAAGATACCAGTCATATAGAATATGAATGATATATAAAGGTATCTGGCAGAAGTGGCATATCCATTAAGTAAACCTGAAATGTGAGCGTTTCTCACTCCGATTTTATAAGGATGTAGCAGTAAGTCACCATAGATCTTAATTAGATAATCTATATTTTTAGGCCCAAAACTTATTATTGTTTTGTAATTTAGAATCACATCAGAAAGTAAGGCATTGGCTTAGTTATAAGGATCTTTTATGTTTATCTGTTTACTTCCTTATTTATTTGAATTTTAAGCACTTAAATGGACTATAATTTGCTAAGTGAAACCTGTGAACAACATTACGGGGCAAGTAACAAGACAGACTAATGCTATTCTCCAGTTGAAGTAAAAAGATATGCAGCATCCTATTATCATACACATAGATGCATCTAAAATGCTATAGTAGAATTCACTAGTTAGGCCATTAAGATAGTTAACTTCCTCGGAAAATAAATTACTTAAAACACCAGGAGCTCTTTCTTAATGATCAAACCACCCTAAATTCTTCCTTAGAATGCTCTAATAAAGCTTAGTTCTTATATTGTAAATGAGATTTTCATTGAGGACTTTTCCATTCCTTTTATTCAAAAATTCAAAAATTCCAATTAAAAACGCCAAAACTGTATATAGTGAGCACCAGAAGTTTCTATCTTCAATGTAAGTAGAAGATTCAGGCTACAGCATAATTGTAAATATTTTTGCAAATATCATTCCACTTAATGGAAATCCAAAAGCACCAAAGAAGGTGCTAATGAAAGATAATGCTACAAGTCTTTTAGGGCCATAGTATTTCATGACTTCTCTGAGACCATACTACTTTTAAGAGGTTTTTTCAAGAGTCTTATTTTCTACTTGTTATTCAAAACCACCAAGTAAATTATCTTACTCACACATAGAATCCATTTCAAAATCTTTATCTGTATCCATACTCTCAAAATCATGATCACCTAATCTTTATACATCCATTAATTCAATTTCTGACTTTTATTTTTAATAATCCTATCTTTTATCCTGAGCAAAGTTTTCATCTAATTCCTTATTTTTCAAGTTTATTGCCTTGATTATTTCATCATACTTAACTGTACCTTTGGATGCAGCATTAACATTTTTATTATCCTCAAAATAGATAAGATTTTCTGCAGATTAAATAGTTTATAATCTATGAGCAATTATGATAGTTGTTAGATTTTTTTCTTAATTCTGAATGTTTTCAAGAGCTTACTGGACATCTTTTTCACTTCTTGGATCTAATGCACTAGTTGCTTCATCGAGAATCAAAATCTTTGGGCTTTTAAGGAGAGCTCTTGCTATGCATATTCTTTGTTTTTAACCTCCAGAAAGATTAAGCAAAGAAGATGTTCCCACATGGGTATCAAGTTTTTTTTCAAGACTGTATACAAATGTGGCATTTGCCAAGGTTAAGGCTCTTTCAATATCTTATTCATTGGCATCTTAATTACCCAATAAGATATTTTCTCTTATTGTTCCCATTATAAGAACTGGTTCTTACTAGACATATCCTATTGATTCTCTTAGAACCTCTAAAGAGATATCTCTAATATGAACATTGTCAAAATATATGCTTCCTTCCTGTGAATCATAAAATCTTTAAATTAATTGAATCACTGTACTCTTACCAGAGCCTGATTCTCCAACTAAAGCTGTTGAAGTATTTGCTTTGATATGCAATGATTGGTTCTTGAAAATATCTTGCAAGCCTTTCGGATATTTGAATGTCACATTTTCAAATCTAATAGCCTGCTCCAAAACTAATGATTACTCGCTGCTTTCATTATTACGAATTGTAGGTATTCTATCAATGAGATCAAATAGTTATTTACCAACCATTTTTGATTAAACAATACCTTGAATATTTGGACTAAATTGAAAAATCATTGAAGTGCAAGTTATCACACAAAAGTTGATTGTCATTATTTCACCAACAGTATATGCATTTCCAGTATTAGGATTATTCATATTATAGTAAATGTAGACTGTGCCAATCCAGTAGTTAAAAGAATAAAAACAATACAAGGAGAACCTGAGTAAACCCAAAAAGGCTGCACCCCAAAATTCTGACTAATTTGAAACTTTTTTAACCTTGTCTGCTAATATATTAAACTTTTCAATCTCTCTTTCTTCTTGAGCAAATGACAGTATGACTTTAATAGCTTGAAGATTCTCTTCAACAAGACCACCAAGGGTTGAAATTGCTCTGCCCTTATTTATTGATGCTTTTTTCACTTAAGCTCCGAACATCATGATTATACCCATTACCACCGGAAATATTGCAAAATATATAGCAGCTAAATCTGCACCTCTTGCAAATGCTATAGTTATTGCGCTAATGAAATTAGTGATTGCAAATATAATAGCTGCAAGCTTTTAACCAATGGATTATTAAATTATTGAGAAATTTTCACCCATCTGAGATGGCAATTATTCAACATTGATATTTTCAAAATATTCAAATTCTTGCTAGAGTAAGTGTTTTAAATATCTTAATCTTAAATCATATGTTATGTTCTCTGCCACAAGCTACCAAAATGAAAAGTAGATGTAAGCAAACCCCCATGTTCCAAATGCGTAAATAGTAAAGTAAATGCATATTTGTCTCAACATTTAGTTAAGCTCTGCAGGTTAGTCGGAAAACTTGAATGTTTAGCTCAATTCACCAATCAATATCGATTATACTGGTACCACTGCTCCTGTAATTATAGCTGCAGTTGTACCTATAACTAACATGAACTTATCAGACTTTGTAATAAATCTAAATAATGTTGAGAAATCTATTGTCCCCTTATTGCTGTTGCTACTAATACTCATATAGTAACCTAAATAATTATTATGTCGAAAGAAACTATTATGACTCTTATTAAATACTAATCTAATTAATGTAATCAAGTATTGACCCTTAAAATAGGCTTAATCTCAATTTCATATTACCTTATTAGACTCTCTTATCCTTGCAAGACTGTTTATGGGGTTTTGGGGTTTTGGGG